TTTGAAGTTGTGAACTTAGATTTGATTGGTATAGTCTTTCCTTGATCAAAAGTTTTGCCAAAAATATTATTATCATTTTTTTTTTGTAGAGATGCAATATGAACAAATAGTGAAAATGAGATGCAAAATGCAATTTTTTTTTGAATTTTGGAAACCTGAAGGTAATGCAATGTCTAGCATGTTTTGCTTTACAAAATGCATGAGTAACTAAAAGATAAATGTTTCAATAATGTTGATTTTAAAAAATGTTAATATATACATCAATATGCTATATGCAAGGATGAAAATAAAGAGTTAGAAGGAAAATTGCCCCCTTTTGTGCACTAAATTGGTTAATAATGGATGGTCAATAGGTCATTCTATACAGTGAATACTTTCATTTGATAGTTGAATGATTGTGATAATTTTGACCACTAGAGTTAATATCTCATTTCGGAAAAAATAGTCAAACAGGATGTACATCCAAAATGACTATAATTACGAAAGAGTCACACTCTAGCCGAGATTTTCGCGATAACCAAACAGGATGTACATCCAAAATGGCTACCACTACACAACCTCTCTCTTATCTTAAGTTTCACTCAGACCCGAGAATATGGCCCCACTCATAGTGTGTGATCAATGTGTAGGTGTTGTGTGTAACCCAATCAGCAAAATAATTGAGAGCAATAATATAATAACACAAAAAGTTCCTCATTCTAGAGTTAGAGCCAATCATCACATCTTTCACACACATATCAAGATATAAGAAAAAAAAATTGCAAAATAAAAAGAGAAAGACAAAATGAAGCAAAATAACAAACTAAAGGTAAGTAAAGCAAATATATAAAAACTACTATGAATTCGCACAATTAATTAACACAGGCTTGACTCTCTAAAATCCCCAGCGGAGTCGCCATCTGTAACGACCAGAAATTTAAAAATTAAAACAAATGGAGTCGCCACCAATTTTATTTACTTTGGAAAAATTGGAAAACCCTTTATTGCAAACTGGTCTATAAAAATCAAGGTTCGGGAGTCTAATTATGCGTAAGGAAGGGTGGGAATTTAATCCCACTGCACCCCTGACACATCCGTTTAAAAACGGTTACCTTAAATTAATTGTGCGAATTATTAATAGCTTTTAAAAATATTTGTTTTATCCCTTAAAAAAATGATTATTTAGGAAGTAAGAAGACTAAAATATTAAAATTTTGTTTTAGCTTGACGGAAAGAGTTCCGCTCCGACGTATCCTCCGGTACAGTGAGGAATTCAAAGCTACGTCGTTCTTTAGAATATTTGTGTGTTGATTGATTTTAATTTTGAAAAAAAACATTTGATTATATTCGACGTTCCCGGATTATCAGGTTCTCCCAACCAAAATGATCCGAGCGAGACGCAGGATTAACAAGCTATCTCAACTCAGCTAATCCATATATAATGATTTTAATATTATAATTTTATTACGAGTTATAGATCACCAAGCTGTCTCAGCCAAAATGACCCAAAACACAAAAGCTTCGGGTTAACAAGTCGTCACGGCTCAGTTGACTCCCATTTTATTTAATGATAAATTAATATTTAATCTTTAAAATTTATCCTCAAATCAATATTTATTATTATTAAGCGTTTTAAAATCATCATATTGTCACAATAGAAATGATTCAAAAAAAAAGCTATGAGATTAGCAAGATGTCACATCTCAGCTAAAACCCTTTTTACTATAACTTACGATTTATTTTTCTAAAAATCAAACACATTTAAGAATTAAATAAGGTTCTTCATTATAAAGAAGAATGAACTAGTTGTTATAAAACAGCTGTGAATTAAAAATGAATCAGCTAAAGTACTCAGATCACGTTTTTTCTTTTAAAAGGAACAAGAAATTAAAAATAAAAATAAATTAAAGATAGTGACGTTGGACCGTGAAGTGCATGGTTAGAGACAACAACTTATGTTTGCTAAAATATTTGTCTTCATAGTAAACATTGAAACTGTGAGTACCCGAGATCTACCAAAATATTCATTTTATAAGAATCAAAGGTGGATATCAACATTGCAAATGTTAAAATATTAATATATTAAAGGTTGCAACACTGCATCGTGAATATATGAAGTTTGCTAATATATGATATGTTAACACATTTATTCCACGAGAAGTACATCAGCATAGCAAGTATGGAAATATTAAAATATAGAGAAAATGTACACAGACCAAGGAAAGTTAGAACTCGCTAACCTAATAATATTAAAATATACCTTTCCAAAAAAAAAAGCAAGAATACGTTATATGATACAACTAGTTGGCGAAAATGCTTTGTGGGAAACTCCAATGCAATGTTATATGACCAAATTATTTTAATCATTTCTTCAGCACATTAAATGAAACTACCCCATATTACAATAGTAACAAGAAGACACAGACCACAAGTCATGCACCGACATCAATATGCAGTGAATGGATAAAAAAAAAACTCATACATCCTCATTAGCATACGGTTGGAATCAAAAGATGATAGTCTAACAGCTATGTGATCCAAAAGATAACACTAACAGTCATATGATTCAAAAGATTATGTCAGTCAACAAGAGATGCAGTAATGGTATTTTAACACAGCACAACTCACAAGCCTTAAGTCGCGTGAAGGTTGCACGATGGTAACAACAAGGTGATATGCAAGCTCTGGGCGATGAAGTACAATGATGGGCGGTGGAGTAGACAGAGTCTATGTGGCAGTGAGCAACATCAGAAATCCTCTACCATGGACACTTGCAGCAATTCTCCTCGATGACAGTAATAGCCGGACTTGCAGTGATTGGTGACTGAGTGTAAAAAAAAAAAGGGCTATGGTGGTGCGATAGTTGGCAACGGCGGGGGTTACAGCAAAAGCTTTTTTTTTTTCTTAGAAAATACTCATTTTTTGGCTTGGTTCGTCTTCCTTTCTTTTTGCTTCTGAGAGGTGTTCTCTTTTTTATAACCTGAAGTTAGCTAACCAAAAAAATCCCCTCTTTTCCCGTTCAGTCTCCCTTTTTAAACTTCTTCAATGCTCCCCCTAAAAACCAGCGTCCCTTCCTTTGTTCTGTATCTTTTCGTTAGCTTTATAGGATAAAAAAAGAACCAAATTTTATTACATTATCTGAGAGGTAAACAGAAGGAGCCTTGCTGAATTGAGCATGAGTCTTCTCCAAACTCCATTTTAGTGCACTGCTCCTCTGCTTCTATGTATCCATCTCTGAACCATTCATATTTTGTCTACCTGATATCTTACTTTTCAGCAAAGTATACAACGTACACCAGTGAAGTAGCTTTGTGCCCAAAACGTATGCCAGTGGAGAACTCTTTTGCAGTGGCGGTCTCTTGTGCAGAGCTTTTCCTCTTGAAACGACAATATGACTAGCTTAGGAAAAGAGAGAAATGTAGTTGCTCTGCTTACGATGCAAGTAATAGTTAGGGGTAGTTTTCTTCTTTTGTTCATTTTTTTATATTTTATTTTATTATTTAATTACTACTTTTATTTTTTTTATTTTTTCTTTTTAAAATAGGAGTCCACAATAATTTTTTTTTTTTAAACATATTTGGGACAAAATCAGGTGTTCACATATCCCATGACCCCTGACCTCGGCCGAGTCAATGACCGGGCCGGGTTTTTAAACACTGCTAAAAAGTAATTAATATAAGTCGTTTTATACTCACTAGCTCCCTAATCCGCGATTTGCTCCAACTACTAAAACTTCAAGATTAAGGAAACACGATCTTCTCGCATATGTATAATCCCATAGGTATATTGACACATGGCATCAGTAGCTTGATTCTTTATCGCTACATGACGTCAACAACTTAAGACTCTACAACCACCCTGTTATGAACCTACATAAGGCCCATATGCCTAAAAAGTCCAATAAAGGGAAGACACTTGACAGCTATACAAGAAGACAACTGGGCACATGAAGAAAGGAGTCCAGATTGTTCAAACCCTAAGGTAAACTCTGTAAATAAGAGGTAAAGACCACATGTATGGACTGATCTCTCTCTTACTATTATGCTGTCATTGTGCACACATATCGCCCCATTGGCTGAAGCCTTATAGTTGTGTACGGTGATTTGCTACCCCCAAGGTATCTAATTCATAGGTACCTAGAGAGAGCACAAAATTCCATTTTGATCTACTAGCCCAAGGCAAGACATTTCTATCACATAGATAGAACACACCCGAATAGTCAATGGCTAAGAGACATACACTTGGTTCCAACTACACCAATGAGGCATATCCCACAAATAGACATCACGCACGCGAGATGATCTGCAAAAGTCACTTTTGTGCACCAATGAGGTTTCGTCATACTAAGGCGACATAAGTAGAACAATCAACCACTATATAATAGAGGCTTAAAGCATAGGTATGATCATCTATTTTTTCTTAACTAAAGTTCAACACTCATGTAATGACTTAAGCGTTGGAGTGTTTTGTGGGTACCCTCCATTTATCCTAGCCAATCAATACATCAAGTCTCAAATCCTTCATCTCACATAGCATCTCGCAAAGTTACAAAATATCCTACAGAATCACGATCCTACAACACCCATTTTGGCAAAGATGCAAATAATTATTGAATCAAACTCAACCGTGTGTGATCTAGCTCAATCATTATTGCACTGATCAAATTCTAAAATCTAAAATAAAATAAACTTGTAAATAAAATAGTATATCACATATACATGTGCTAGTTTTATAAAATGTGCATTTAATTTTGAGTTATATTTATCTCATTCAACATGAGATAACACATCTTCTTACACACATATAATAAAGGTGGATCTCACTTTTATTTTATTTTTCTCCAATCATTTGTGAGTCTCTTTTATTATTTTATTTTACTAATATAAGATAACTTATATAATTGATGAAAGTTACTTCGAATCGGATAAGTAACATAAAAAACGATTTCGCTCTAATTTTTACTTAATCTACAAAATGCATTCATCTTCATACATACAGCTTCCTTCAAGCAATCCAATTGGGCAACGGCATCGTTTTGTTTCAGTCTTTTGTTTCGTTCTGCTGACAAAGTGAATCTAACATCGTTCTGTCCTTCTTCAACACTGAACAGCTTAATCGATACTGCAAATCAAAAATCGAAGACTTGAAACCCTAACAATGGCGTTCCAGATGCCATTGGATCAGATGAAGCAGTTACAGATCCTGCTACGCAAAGAGGCCAACCTCTCATGGTACCAGCCAGAGAAAGAGGACAATCTCGCGCTCCCAAAGCTACCTTCGGTCACAGAAACCATAGCGAAACTCGATCCATCGCCACCTTACCTTCGCTGCAAGAATTGCAATGGCAGGCTCCTCCGCGGGTTGCAATCCTCTATCTGCGTCTTTTGCGGCACAAATCCCCACAAGGACCTCCCTCCCGAACCCATCAACTTCAAGAACACCATTGGCTATCGATGGTTACTCGAGTCCCTTCACCTCGATGGATCGGTAAAATCTTTCTCATCATTTCAAAGTGCTTCCTTATTTTTTATTTAAAGTAATGTTATTCGTTTTTCCTTTGTTTGTGATGCAAAAAACAAAAAAATTGTGGTAGTGTAATTATTTTTTTTTTTATAATTTTGATAGTGTCTTTTATCAAGTCATGATTTTTTTATTTTGGGGTTTGACATATTGTTGTGTTAACTCTGCACACATTGTTTTGCAGGAGATGGTGGCACCAGTGGAGGAAGAAAATGCATCAAACAGAGGGAGGAGTGAATCAAAAAATGAGATTCCCTTATCTGAACTACTAGATTTGGAAATTAGATGGCATTCGGAGGCTGAGAGAACTGCATCAAGTAATTCAGATTCGGCAGTGTTTCAGGGGAAAAGTTCATTGACTTTGGCTGGAGTTGATCTTGATAGTTTTTTCGATCGGAGGGAATCTGATTCTGATGCTTTTGAACAGAACTTGGCTTCGGGAAGACAAGTGGGTACTGCTTCAGATAATACTTTCCAAGCTAATGAAAATCTTAGTTTGTTTCAGAATGTGCAAGCTTCAGAAGCCGCCTCAGGGTCTGCGGAAGATCAGAGTGGTGATTCTTTTTCAGGTTGGGAGGCCAACTTTAAGTCTGCTAGTTCTGGTTCTGTTCATGAAGAGTCCAAATCAGTTGATCATTCTAAAGTTGGTTTGGATGTGGTATCTGGAGACTGGAAAGACTCTGTTGGTGTAAAGAAGAATGATGATTTTAATCCTTCAGCATCCACAGAAGATGATTGGTTTCAGAGTGATGGATGGAGAACTTCCAACTCAGAGGTACATAGCCAGACTGGGAAATCAGAATCGACCATGGATCTTAATGATACAAAGATATCAGAAAGTGCTAATGCTTCTTCTAATAGAAATTTTGACTGGATGCTAGATGACCAATTGCAAGGGAGTAATAACAAGACAACTGGTACTGTGGCTGCTGATGAAGCTGATGATTCATTTGATGCATGGAATGATTTTACTGGCTCAGCTAGCACACAAGATCCTTCTAGTAGTTTTTCCAGCTCAAAGATAAGCCAGGCTGGAAAATCTGGATTTTCTGCTGATTTTAATGATACTAAAACAATAGAGGATGCTAATAGCTCTTCAAATAACGATTTTGACTGGATGCAAGGTGACCATTGGCGAGATAACAATGACAAGACAACTGATACTTTCGGTACTAATGAAGCTGCTGATTCATTTGATGCATGGAATGATTTCACTGGCTCAGCCAATACTCAATATGCTTCTAGTAGTGTTTCCAACTCTGAGATAACCGGCCAGACTGGGAAATTTGAATTGGCTAAGGATCCTAATGATACAAAAACAGCAGAAAATGCTACTGGTCCATCTGGAAATTTTGACTGGATGCAAGATGACCAATGGCAGGGGATCAATAACAAGGAAACTGGTATTGTGACTACTAATGAAGTTGCTGATTCATTTGATGCATGGAATGACTTTACTGGCTCAGCCATTTCACAAAATCCTTCCAGTAGTATTTCCAACTCTGACATAACTACTGATCGTAATGATACAGAAACAGCTGTGGGTGCTAATGCTTCTTCTGTTAAAAGTTTTGACTGGATGCAAGATGATCAATGGCAATTCAGCAATAACAAAACTGATACCGTGCCTACTAATGATAGTGCTGCTTCATTTGATGTTTGGGATGGCTTTACTAGCTTGGCCACTACACAAGATCCTTCCAGCAATATTTGGAAACAATCTGTAAATCAGACTTCTGCTGAAACGATCTTTGAACCGAATTTACTCAGCTCATCAAACAACTCACATGATATGGATGATTTATTTTTAGGACAGTTTAGTAGTCCACTAAGTTCTCCTGCAGCAACCATTGCACAGCCTGCCACTGCTTCTTCAAACAGGTGCCTAGATATTATGTCAGTTGCATTGTTTTTTTTTTGAAAAATATACATAGTTGTATTCAACCATTTTTTGAGTACCAGGTGATCTTTAGTGTATTTCCAACATCTTTAGGAGCTTGAGTTCAATCGTTCACTTTACATTTAGTGATAATTGAATAATTCAACTAAAGGGATGTCTATACAGTTTTGAAGTCCTGTAAGGAAACTGATGCATCTAGGTATTAGCCAGTTGAATTTGCTAATTGAAAGGTGGGTGAAGGGTATCTGTTGTAAATAATAGTTATATATGGATGGACAAGCTGAATGGGATTCTGACTGATGGCATAATTCTTTGCTTTGCATGTTGTGACTCAAAAAGGATTTGCTTCTTACATGTGAATGGGAGAAAGGATGTCGAAAGGAATAAACTGGAGGATCCTGCTATTCATATTTATCTTTTAGTAGAACTTCAATGTTCAAACATCTTTATTCTTCCTAGTTCCTACTATTTATACTACCTTGAAAGCCGTGGAGAACTTGGAAGTTCTTCATCCTTTAAACTACTGCGTTGGCCTTGAATTTTATCATTTAATGCTCTGGTTATTTTTTATTTGGCTTCGTACATTCTGCTGACTAACATTGATCTTTGTTTGACATTTTATACTTTCAAAATAGAAATTTATGCTATTTGTTTCATGTTCAGGGTGGCTGATATGGATACCACGAGAGGAGACTCTAGAGATGTTTCCACTGCAGTAGTAGGGGCAAAAGATGATGTAGAGATGTTGATATCACAGATGCATGATCTCTCCTTTATGCTTGAGAACAATCTTTCAATTCCCCCAAAGTAAGATGGACCTATGTTATTTTCTCATAATTCTTCGCTTATATTAATTTTGTAATCTATGGCATAGGCTCTTCTACTTTCTCTATATCTGTGTTCTTTAACTAATGGGTGGGGGATACGTCTTTCGTCTACGGTTATAACCTCACTCTTCTCTAAATCATTCTTTTTTGGGGGTTTAATTCCCTAAATTTTTTTATTGTAGATCAGGCATGTTGGTATTGTGTTGCTTAGTATTATGCAACTACTGCACATTAGCAGGCAGTTTATCTTGGGGTGATGATTATTATTTGGTTAGAAGCAATGTCCGATGGGAGGGATGCCTTTAATTCTGTTGCGTTGAGAATGATATGACGTTACCTGTTCCACTGCCAATTAATCTGCAGTAGATTCTTCACATCTTAGTCTTTTCTGGGTATTTGGGCCCCATGAATTTTTTTGGCGCAAAAAAAACCTGCAGAAAACTTTCTAGTGGTGATTGTGTTGATTTAAAAAATAAATAAAAGAAAATTGAATTGAACCCGAATGATTGGTTCAAGTGACAATTTAAGCCCTAAATCCGAAGGACGAATGAATTACTGAGCGTGCAGGGGTTCGAAATTTGGAGAGGACCTTTCAGGCCAGAGCTAAATAATTGTTATGCTACTCAACTTGGAATTTGTCTCATATATGTGCAAGTTTTTTTCTCCACCCGAGTCATGAGGACACTCGGAAAATCTGATTTGCTCCAAAGGGATAATTAAGGTTATGGACTAAAAAAAATTGATTTATATAATAGAAGTAGTTTTAACTTCTTCTTTTTTCGGATATTAGGGAATGTAAAACAGCAACACAGACTACCTAAGGATCATTCTGGGTATAAACAACACCCATTAGATCCTTTTCTAGAGCCCTGTTACAGCTCAAAGGAGCATTAGGCAAATCAACTAACTCCCAAGCTCCATGATCTACCAACCGAGCCAAATAATCAGCTACTGCGTTACCACTCCTGTTAATATGACTAAACATCACCTTCCACTTCTTGTTTTTCATTTCCTGTATGCGATCCACCACTTGAAGCAGAGGGTGATCAGGAGAGCAACCATTTTGAATTAAGTGCAAAGCTTCAAGAGAATCTCCTTCCCATTGGACTTGTCTAAATCCATGATCCCAGGCCACATGAAGACCCATAAGAGCACCCCATAATTCAGCCTTCAAAGCATTGCCTTGGCCAACCTTCTTCATAAAGCCAACAATCCATCTGCCATTACTATTACGCAAGACCCCACCACATCCACTAATCATACCATCAAGGGAGCAGGCCCCATCTGAATTAATTTTAATCCAGCCCTCAGGAGGAGACTGCCATTTCACAATACAATCCTCCATTTTCCTTACACTAACATCAATCACATCTAAGGTTTTTTCAACATGAATAATATTATTGACATAAGTTCTAACCTTAAAACAGAAACTTTCAAGAGAGCACACTTCATTTCTAAAGACTAGATTATTTCTAGCTTGCCATAACATCCAGCAGGTGGTTCCAAACGTGAGGCTCCATCTCTGCTCAAGAACCTTCCCCTTTTTGTTCTTCAGGTTGCTTCTAAGCCATTTTGAAAAGCTGTTATCAGAGTTCAGGATTCCATTGGACTTAGGATTTAAAATCACCCAGACCTGCTTAGCCCATGAACATTCCCTCATTACATGTTTACAATCTTCATAAGGATGAAAGCATATGGGACAGTGAGCCTCTCCACCCATATGTCTTCTACTCCTTTGCTCATTAGTCAGGAGACTATTCCCTAGAAGGAGCCATAAAAAATGCTTTATCCTTTCAGGACCCTGCCACTTCCAAGCACAATCCCACAAATTATTCTGATTTGGCAGGTTAACTGCCTCATCTCTGATGAACTGGTAAGCAGACCTGACAGAGAACAATCCATTGTTATAAGGCCTCCAAATGACTTTATCAGTGCCATCCTCCACCTTAGGAGCCTCAATATCAGCAATGACTGTACAAACTTCTGCAGAAAGGTACTTATTAAACTTATCCCAGTCCCATCCACCATTCTGGGTCACACAATTAGAAACTCTCCAGGTTTGAGCATTGGCAGGAACATGAGCAGTGGCCTTGTCAATGAGCCTCTCAATTCCAGGAACCCAGCAATCTAACCAGAAATTTATGAGCCTCCCATCCCCCATTAAGATACTAGACCCAGCCAGAATGTGATTCCAAGAAGAACACAGACCCCTCCAAATATTACTATCTTCTACTGATCTTGAAATTCTGGGGACCAGACCCTCTTCAACTTTATATTTATTTCGCAGAACTCTGGCCCATAGAGTCTCCTTCTTGGTCAATAAACCAAAGCCTACCTTCATGACAAAAGCTTGATTAAAAGCTTTAATATTTCTCAAGCCAGCACCTCCAGACAGTTTCCTAGTGCACATTGTTTCCCAATTAACCAGATGCACCCTTCTCTTATCTTCAGTGGAACCCCAAATAAATCCACGAGCCTGCTTTTCAATATTTTCACACACAGTTTTAGGAATCCAGGCTGTTTGCATAGCATAGTTTGGCATTGCAGAAATCACTTATTTAGCCAAAGTCAGTCTTCCAGCTAGAGATAAAGACTTGGAATTCCAAGTACTCAGCCTACTCTTGACCTTGTCCATCACATGACCAAAGGAAGCTTTAGTAACTCTAGAATGATTCAAATATACTTCCAAGTATTTTCCCAAATTAGGAGTACTCCTTATACCTAAGCAGTCACTGATCTCCGTAGATCTGTTGGAGCTAACATTTCTAGAGAAGAAGACACGAGTCTTATCAAGGCTTATATTCTGACCAGAGCTCATAGCAAACACCCTGAGAACTTGGTTCACCACAAAAGCCTGCTCCAAAGAAGCCTCCATACACAACAAGATATCATCAGCAAAGAACAGGTGTGAGATTGGAGGTCCATTTTTCCTAAGCATAATAGGTTTCCAAGCCTCATTAGCTACTTGGATCAGATGGGCAAGTCTTTCAATGCAAAGTACAAAAAGGTGAGGGGAAAGAGGATCCCCTTGCCTTATACCTCTGGAAGGCTTGAAGAATTTAGTAGGTTTCCCATTCCACAACACATTCAGTTCACTAGTGCCAATACATTTATCAATAATAGAAACCAGGTTGCTAGGCAAGTCCAAATCTGTTAAAGTAGCATAAATAAACTCCCAGCTTAGCCTATCATAGGCTTTTTCAAGATCTACTTTAATGACCATCCACCCATGCTCACCCTTCTTCCTTTGCATTGAGTGAATGATCTCTTGAGCCACCAGGATATTATCAGCACTATTCCTTCCTTTAATAAAAGCACACTGATTCGGGCTAACCAGTTTAGGCATCAAAACCCTTAATCTATCAGCAATAATCTTTGTAACCAGCTTGTAAGAAACATTACACAAGCTTATAAGCCTAAAATCTTTCATACATTATGGATTGTCTTTTTTAGGAATCAAACAAAGATGAGTTTGATTAACATCCTGGACCTTCGAAGGATCAACAAAAATATTCTTGATCAAGTCACAAACAGACTTACCAATAATGTGCTATTGAGTTTGATAAAAGGCAACATTCAAACCATCCAGCCCTGGAGCTTTGAATCTACCCATTTTAAAAACACTGTTCTTAATCTCCACCTCATTAGTAATTCTGGCTAACTTATTCATCTCAAAAGCCTCCATCTTAGGGAAAGCACCCTTGATAGGATAATCCTCAATAGCCCCCTCCTCAACTAGAAAGAGATTCTCAAAGTATCCTACAGCTGTTTCCACAAGATCATTAGAGTCAGCAGTCCACTCTCCCATCTCATTCTTGATGGCCAGCACTTTATTGTTTCTTCTTCTAGCAATGGTAGTCGAATGGAAGAACTTTGTGTTTTTATCACCAAATTTCAGTCATGAAACTCTAGATCTTTGGAACCAAGACAATTCCTCTCTCAGCAAGATAGTCTCCAAATCCTTCCAAAGATCACTCTGCAACCTCACAAGCTCCCTATCATATCTAGATTCCAGCTCCATATCAATGCCCTGGATTCTAGCATATAATCTATGCTTCTGTCTCGTCTCCTCTCTAAACACATAATGGTGCCAATTGGAAGCTTCAACCTCAAACTCTTTCCTAGCTTCAGTCCAATCCCTTTTCTTCTCCCAACAATTTTTGACAATATTCCCCAATTATAGATTTGTCAGCCATGCAGCTAGGAACTTGAATTGCTTCACACCATTCAACTCTCGGGTAGTTTGATAATTGCTAACCAGAATTGGTCTATGATCAGAATTGAAGAATGGTAAATGACCAAGAAATCTGTTGGGCCAAGCCATATTCCACTCCTCATTTGCACATGCTCTATCAATTCTTTATTGTAAGTTACCCCTCTTCCAAGTATAACTAGGACCCTTGAATCCTATGTCAGAGACCCCACACACATCAAGGCATTCCTGGATCTCAAGAATACTCCTCCAACATACCTCCATACCTCCAACCTTCTCAAATTGCTTCAGCACAGAATTGAAGTCCCCAAGAATAATCCAGGGAGAGACAATTCCTCCAAATTCTCCCAAAGGATCTCTCTCTCACATCTCCTCGGGCTCCCATACACAAAAGTGACTAACTCCACTCTACTATCCTCCAAATAATGGACTCTAGTATGAACATACTGATGATGGGATTGAATAATCTCTACCTCTACATCCCTATCATCCCTCAACACCCAAATACCTCCAGAAAACCCCACAGCCTCCTGCTTGAAGTATTTAGAAAATCCAAGCTTCCTACATATAGCTTCACCCCTGTCACCATGTATTCTGGTTTCCAGCAAAACCATAACTTTTATTTTGAACCTATACTTAATATCTCTAATCAGAGCAGGAAATGATTTTTTCCCCACTCCTCTACAGTTCCATGAACAAATATTATTATTCATAAGCATAACTAAACAAAAGTAAATAGTTCCAATCACCAAAGGCTGGGACATCAGGAAATATTTAAGATTTTGGCCCTTACCAGACCAGAACTGACCTGTTCAATCTCCATACCATTCTGAGGCATAATGCCAGACTTCGGGTTACTCAGAGTTGCCTCTCCTTTTAATCTCTCACTGCCCAGGATATTTGGATTCTGGGAAGGTTGAAGGACTCCACCTTCAGCAGCTTTGTTCCTATTATTCATCTTCTGGCTTCCCAAACTCAGAGAGTTAGGGAATTGATTTTCTGAAGACTGCACTCTACTCACACCA